GAATCCATGTTAAAGGCATGAATTGGCAGCAGACGTCAGTGGCGAATCCAAGGCTGAAGGTCAGCTAGGGCAGGTATCAACCGTTAACCATTGATCGTTAACTCAACGATCGTAATAGCGATGTCGTTTATTAAAACTAATAAATTCCTAAGCCTAAATTCCCGTTGACTCAATGATCGTAATAGCATTTCTTTCACTTTTCCTCTATTCCGTTGTGTACAAACTACAAACATACACACACACAAACAAGATAAATGCAGTGAATCACAACCATTGACTAAACCATCTTCTCCATTAATTTTTTCACTTATCCCTAATTTCCTAAATCTAAATTCCCAAATCATTAATCATAAATTATAACTCATACAAAAACTAATTATAACTCACAGAACAAAAAAAAAAAAAAAAAAAAAAAAAAAAAAAAAAAAAAGGACAAACAGAGAAATATAGCCGAGTAGCCGACAGGGAAAAAGGCGCTCACTAGTTACCAAGAAGTCGGTCGACCACTAGTCTAATGTCCACCACAGAAGAATAGTCCACACCACTTGCTCCTCGCCGATCATTGTCACTCATCATAGACCACAATGTGCGTATTGCTTCTGCTCATCTCCGCCAACGCCAGTCCACCTATACCTTCACTTCATTTCAATTGTGGATTGGTCATTTGGTTTTGGAGGAAATATATCCATGGTCTAGAGATTCCAGTCCAGTCGTCCAAGGATTGGGGCCATTCATTAGGCCTTATTATTTTTTTAAAAAAGGTCCATCCCTCTTTGACCCAAAAATGGAAAAACAAAAAATAAAAAAATAAAAAAGTTAGACCCAATCCAAACCAGCAGGCAGTGTAACAGTCATCTTCTTCACTCCTTCCAATCCTCTCCTTTCTTCCATAGCAATTGGCGCCCGGCGACTGAAAGTTCGGCGGAGTCCAGCACGCGCAGCTGCGCCCCCTCGTCGGGTGCTAGCTCCGCCACTGGCAGACGTAAACATATGTTTGTGCTCTAATTCATAATTTAGGGATCCAAGAACAACCCATTAGAGTCAAGAAATAAATTTTCCACTTGTACAGAGGAATTGCTGCCATAGTGCCTCGTCTTTTTTTTTTTTTTTTTTGCCATTAGCCTTCGGATTGTTGCCAAGTATCATCTGTATCAATTCTGATAGCCATTTTCTGTACATATCGCAGGTATGAGTAAGAAAATAAAGACAAGTAGTCTCACAGCATTAAAAAGGGTTATTTCACATTGAGGCACGTAATCAGTTGGTATCATCGACTATGGATTTGATTTTCATAATCCCTAGCAAATTAGCGACAGAAAGCCTTTAGGTTATGTATTCGTGTCATTAGGGTTGGACACAATTTTCGAACCGAACACGACCCAAATTAAATCAAATCGAGTGATTCTTCTTAAATTAAATACCTAAACCTGTATCTGAATCGAGAACCGACATGTTTTATTCGGTTCTCGGTTCTAGATCAAGAATCAAATAATTAAATAAGAATTATATCTTACTAATTTTTGAATTTATTTATTTTAAATAAACCAAATTATTATTATTATTATTATTATTATTATTATTATTATTATTATTATTATTATTATTTACATAAATTTGCTAATTAGTTAATTTAGCTAAAACCCAAAAATATGCTCTCTTTTTTTCCTAATTTTCAGTCTAAGTCCAACTTTAATCAAATTGGCTTAAGTTTTACCCAAATATGTTATTCTACTGTAATGTTGTTTTTACGATTTTGGAGAAATCAAATTGAAACTCAACAACACCTCTCTTAATTATTGTGAGCTCACTATCTTCTTCTTCCTGTAATTTTAACAATCAAATTTATGAAAACTCTGCAAAGAGACACGTAAAATACATATAAGATTGGACTACGTTATTTTGTAAAAGCTAACATTGAGCATGTCATTAGTTGAATTAATATAGCTTTGTAAATATTTCAAAAATTAATTATTGTATGGAATCCGAGAATCGAATGAAATCGAACCGAACCGAAAGGAATTGAACCCAAACAATTCTATAATTAAATTTAAACCTGACGTTTCCACTTACTAAATACCCAAAAATTTTGAATCCGATTCAATTCTTAACCGAACCATGTCCAACCTTATGTATCACGATGTTGGTGAAATGAGTCAATTTCAAAATAAAATTAAAAATATAGAATGAATTGTTGTGGCTGAAATGAGAAAGATTTGGACACAAATTTGGATTCCTTTAGGTTTGAGGGACGGGCTTAGCCCCCGTTTGGTATAAATTAAAATTTGGATTTTTAATTTAGGTCAAATCAACAATTAATTTTAACAATATATTTTATGGAATTCATAACTTTTTAATCACATATTTCATCCTTTTGTTTGTTTTTTTTTTTTAATTTTATAAAAAGACATTTAATTTTAATCCCCACCAAATAAGAGTTTAATCTATATCCAATGGGAGAAATATCTTGTTTGGAAGAAGTATATTGTGAAACATTTAAACAATGTTTTCCACACAAAGGGAATGGAAAAGAAAGAAAATAACAAAAAACAAGAACAACGGATCTAAAGATAAGGGCTTAAACACGAATTACGTTGTCCTCAAACAATATTTAACCCATCTCGGATTGAATTTGATGCTTAAAAGAATATTGACAAATGGTTTGAAAGATTAATCAAGTCTTGCAATAGAAAAAACACTTGAGCACTTAGCCCCTGTTTGGGCCACATTTTTTAGGAAATTAGTAGACAAATTCTGCCCGTTGAGATGCTAGGTAGGACCCACAATAGAGAGAAACGGTGAAAAAGTGCAGCTGGAATTTGGAATCAACTGTCAAAATTCTCATTCTTTTCCCTTGAAAATGGGAAACAAACATGGGCTTAGTGTTTTCTACTAAAACTTTAAGAACACTTTGAAAGAAATTTGGATATGAAGGAAAGAATATAAATTCTATCTTTGTAATGAAGATTTGATCTCAAGTTGTTGAATTACATCTTTGATGTGATAATCTATCATGTATTTGTAAATTTCAATCAACACCCACGAAATTATGCCAAAAAATCATGAAAAGTTGCAAATTTTTCACCAAATGTCATCAAGAATTCAAACAATGGCTATTTTTCAGTTTAATCATTTGCGGGGAATATAAGCCCAGCATATCTTTATGCAACCGCAGACCAGAAAGGTCTATGCTACCACTTAGGCAAAAGTTTTGGCCATCAAATCATTTTTCCATTCCAAAGTCTATTTTATTGATTTTGAACAATAATTTCAACATGATATGCGTCCAATCTTGAACCTCTAATATACAGATTTCATGAAGCCAAAGATGCCCCTCAATTTGATCAGAGAGCTACAACTGCCGGAAAATGACTAGCCTATCATCTTTTAACCTAGACCAAAATTTAGGTACTCCCCGAAGTTTTCAAGATATTTCTTCCTTTTCTTTTTTATTTTGCTTCCTTTTTAATTATGTAATATTCAATTCTTACGGAGTACATTTGTAATGTTGTAATTAAGTAATATTTATATACAAAATATGTTATTATTGCCTTTTAAAATGTTCAAGCAATGGATTCTCATCTTCTCAAGCCAAATTCATCTTCATTTTCCAACATTGATCAAGCATTTGAAGAAGAGACAATATAATTGATCGAATGATGAGTACTTAATCTAAGTTAAAGTCAAATAATCAATATTAATCACATCTTTTATGCATCCCACAATTTTTTAACAACATATTTCAAAAGTTTTTATCAAAATTTACTGAAAATCTAATTTTAATCTCCATCAAACATCGTGTAATCTAATGGTGGAGTTCCCATTGAATTTGATAACAATTGATTCACTTTTCACAGACCGAGGGTCTTTATATTCTCATGGCGGAGTTCCAATTAATAGCAGCTAATTCATTTTTCTCTTAATATGTACGAACTATATATGAAGATCATGAACAAAGATATCACCTACCGGTTTTGACAAGTGATGTCCTGTGATATTCCATAAGTGACGCCCATCTAATTTCACATATGGAGCTTCTGTAGCATATAATTTGCGACATCATCGACTGATTATCCATCATTTAAGGTCAATTGATATGCAATTTTCTATATTTTACTTTCGCCTATTATGAAAATATCGAATTGCCGATTGAAAACTTTTCATCAATGGTGATTTTTATTCACAGGTTTCATAGTATCTACCTCAAATTTCAATCATCGTGCCACGATATTTTGTAATGTAGATTCCATTACAGTAGAGATCAATAAAATTGAACAAATCATGATTTATTGACATAATTCATTTTGCTTTAGGTCTATATTTTAGCTACAGGCTAGTTATTAGTTTGTAATCTCAATTTCACATTAGAAGAAATTAAATTTCGGATTTATAAATAGTCAAAATAGTATCTTAGAATTTTAATATCTTGAAAATTAAGTATACAGTTACATCAATTATGTGATTATTTCTCGACTAGTTAATGTAACCTATCCGACTCTTATCTAATTTGTGTTACCCTAAGTTTATACAACCGTGCTACCTGCACAGACTCTTTTGCACAGGGTCTGTACAGGTGCACACATATGGGAGTGGACCCCACGTGTGGGGTCCACATGTGAGGTCCACCCTCATGTGAGAGCTCCTATACAGACCCTGTGCAGGAGCGTAATTCAAGTTTATATTGTTTGTGTTGTATACACACATTGTACTGCAAGAATTAATCACATAAAAACACATGCAAATGATATGCGTAACTATCAAACCACATTATATTTATATACCAAAATGAAATCAAACTTGCAGTTTATTCAAAGAAATAAACAGAAAATAATTCGAACTGACTAAATTCTTGATTTCTCCTTAAGATAGTTTTGCTTCTCCCTTAGCTCGAGATAATGAATAATTGAGTCACATAGAATGGATTTTTGTTTCGGATGACTTAGAATCGTGGTCATAAAAGAACCGACAGACAAAAATACTGTCTTTTTCTTCAAATCACAATATGAGCGTAAACGGGGAATTTTTATACGAAATGAAAGTGTTTATTATCAAATAAAGATGAATTATGCTACTTTAACATTGGGTTTGACCGGCTTGCTAACAAAGTGACGTGGATAAAGCATTATTCTAATTAAAAAAACCAATGAACAGCAAATGAAATTTTGGTAACAGTGGCCCACTCCAATTTAACCGTTTTCCCCATTCATCTCAGGTCATTTGGGCGTCATTTCCCTCCTTTTGTTTTCTCCATTTTCCACTTTTTCACTCACACTCCGCATCTACACTTCAACCTCCGGCCACCTCTGAAGACTTCGACCGTTTGGCTAGCTCTGACATCTCCAAGCACCTCCGAAGTCTCCGTTCATTTGGCTAGCTCCGATATCGCTTTTGTCACACCATCGATATTTCGAACCATTTGTCCATCTTTGCTTCCATCGACAGCTACGACCTCCAACCACCGTCGCTTGTTTGGCTGAAGATGACAGGGAAATGTAAAATTTGAAATTATTTTTTTAAGGTGGATCTAAAATTTATTTTTATTTAAGTATAAGCATGATACTGGGTAGTATGATTTAGGCAGGACTTTGTTAATTTTTGGAAGAATTTGCAAAAGAATGAAGCCTATTAATGTCATGATTTATCTAGTAGTACAGAATAAATGCATAAGCAAACTGAAAATTTCATTATTGCATGGAACCTGCTATTCTAGAAAATGAACTCATAAGAAGCCAAATTTGTAAATGTTATAAATGACCATAACTAATATGTTGCATCAATTGTAAAGTAGTTCACTGGAAGAGGACTATAAATAACAATTCAATCGGCTTTTTGTCGTAGGGAAAGAAATTTCAAATGACGTCGAAGCCGTTATGTTGGCGGAGTTCGATGACGAGAATGTTATTGACAATACAAAATTACTGGGTGATGGTGCAACATGACGAGATAGTGTGATTGTGCCTGAAGTGGGCATGATGTTTAAGGATGAAAATGAAATATTAGAGTTTTATAAAAGATATGCATACAACTTGGACGTTCCAATGAGAAAAGAAAATTCAAAAAATGATGATGATGGAGTTCTACGATATGCTACATTTGTTCGTAACTGTGAAGGGAAAAACATTAATAATACAAGCAATTCTCTGAAACCACAAGCTACCATGCAGAGTGGATGTAAAGCCAGATTAATCATATATTCTGGTATTTGTGGAATATGGAGAATTAACACAGTACACCTCGATCAAAATCATAAAAAAAGTCCTTCAAAATCTAGATTGTATCGATACAACACAAAATTAAGTGCTTAGGTGAAAAATCGGCTTGAAGTAAATGACATTGAAGGAATACCGCTGCACAAAATTATAACCCTGCAGTTGTCGAAGCAGGTGGATATGAGAATATGACCTGCCTGGAAAAGAATTGTCGAAATTGTGTTGAACAAGTTTGTAGGTTAAGAATTGGAAAAGATGACGTTGCAGCAAAACAGCCATTTGTTATACATGTTTGTTATGAGATGTTTTATAATTCAGTTATTGTTGCAAGCACAAAGCCAAAATGCATGTTTTAAATTCAATCTTATTTCGTTCGACACTACACATTCCTTGGTTGACAAGTCCAAGCCATCCACATCGCATAAACATAGAGACAGTACCATATAGACAATGAAAATTGAGTTTTGATACAACAACTACAATTACAAAAGAAAATTACTTAACTAGTATATCCCAATGAAACTACTAATTCAAAAAATACATAAGTGAAATGAGGTCATTAAACTAACCACCACAACTCATTCATGTTCCTTTCCTCTATCATCTCCATCCACATTTACTCTTTGTGTATTGTCAAATAAAAAGAAATCTCCATATCCTGTTGATCAAATAATCGACATCCAGATTCAAACGTGGCAGTTAGTTCTTTAGCTCCTTCATTTGTAACATGATTCTTCGAAGTAGCGCTAACTGCACTTGATTTACCGCTTGTCTCACCATCTTCGACCCACCCCAAATATCCACAATTTGCTCTACAGAAATTTAATGATCTACCTTTGTTCTTACTTTCTTTCTCCACCTCAAAACAATTGACGAGTGCATGTTTACATCATGGGCAATGGCATTTCTCTAGATAGAACTCAAAAAATGTCCATTTTCTCTACAACTTTGACATACTTCTTGATTCGTTCCCCCCAACTTATGGCATTTCTCTAGATAGAACTCAAAAAATGTCCATTTTCTCTACAACTTTGACATACTTCTTGATTCGTTCCCGTCATTATAAGTTGGGAATAAACCACAATATATCGTAAACTAAGATTAAATTTAAGGAAAATTTCATAATTCTGTAATAAGATCAAGTGCATTACAATTTTTTTCTTCCTCCTTAATAAGTGAAATTAGGAACCTTATAAATCCACTCAACCACATTCAGTGGATATTCGCACTCCCATTTCAATTTTCAGAATCCCACAGCCATTCATCGAAAAGCACATCGGATGGCTTCAACCCGATGATTAAACCAGTGATCCAAATGTTTGTAACTATGTTATGTTCTCCTATCTTTTTTATAGACAAAGTCATGTGAAGAAGGCTTTTATATTAGTATGCTATAAAAAAACAACAAAAAAATCTTGTAGTTCATGTTTCCTATTCTAACCCTTTAAGCAAAAACAAACTATGCAGCAATAGCTTCAGGCAAGAATAATAAACAATATAGCTTCAATAAATAAAATATCACAGATTAATTTTGGAAAATGATTAAACATCATATTCAATCTGTTAAAATCCCTACAGATTTGAACTTACTTTCGCTTGCTATAAATCAAATCAACACCTGATGAAAACCTAACAACAAACTTACTTTCACTTACTATAAATTTAGTTGGAGAAGATGGGACCCATCGTCGAACATCTCACGAACACCTCCAACGATTTCTATCGTGCAGCTGGATAAATGCGATAGACAAAGATGGGTTGGGTGCTTCTGGTATAGCAAGCGAAGTAGCATAGAAATGTCTTCTTTTGGTGCTGTGTTGGAGGTTTTGAGAAAATTGGTGCTGGCATTGGAGGGTTTGGGAGATTTGGGGGAAACAAAAGTTGTGGGATTATGGAGGTTGGGTATGGGGTTATAGGGGTTGAAACATTGGGCCTAGTTTTGGGTTCTTTTGAACATTGAGCCTTTTTTATTTTCTTAATTCTTTCTCTTTCTTTAATTTTTGCTTTTTCCACATCAGCAAGTTACCCTTTGTGTCATCCATTTTGGTTACCATAGCGTGATTGAATAAAAATAGAGGGAGTAGAAAGATTTTTTCATTAATTTTATGCAATCATATATATATAGTGTTTGGGTGTCCAATCCAAGGGCAACAACCATTTATAAAGGTTGTAAATTCAAGAAAAATAGTATAACTGTTCTCTAACAAATATAGGAGCCCAAGATCTATTCTTTCTTATGCTTACAAATTAAGGGAATGTACTTGAATAGAGTAATAGTATAATTAATAGGATCAATATTTCAATTTGAGTGCATTGAATTCACGATGTGTCTTTAAAACGAATTTGATTCCTTCTGTGGTGTTTAAAGGCGTTTAGCAATCGTCTCGTAGGATAGAACGTATTGGGTTTTGATATTCAATAAATTTCAAGTGATGATGTTAAACCGATGTTCTATAAGTTATATCGATACCTTAGTGATGGCTCGACTTGGAAACAACTTGGGGCGACTAGAAACAAGTTAATTAAGTTAAATTGCTCATGGCTTAACACTCGCGAATGGCCAAAGTTGTGATTTTTGGGTTGTTGGTGATATATCTATGGCCCATTAATGAGACTTGGCCCAGCTTGTTTCCATTAGCCCAATTTAAAGGAAAATTAAATTAATGCTATATATCCATTATTCATGCTTGTTCTTTGGCCTTCGGTGTGCAATTTAAAAAGAAAAAACCTTGTGTGTTTTGTGCCTTTTGGAAGAAAAAAGGTGGCTGTCTTTATTCCTACGTTCTTCCATTGTTTTCTTCTTACCTCTATGGTTGTAAATCATCACCACCATTATCCTTTGAGGGTGTAGATCTTGTGGCAACCAAGTGTAGAAGTTGTGGGTCGGAGCCTCCTCAGTTAGTGTTCATTTGGTTGATTAAACTAAGTCCAGATTGAGATTTCTCGAATATTTTTGCGATAAATGGTATTAGAGCTTGGGTTGTTGAGAGAGTATGATTTTTTGGGTGAAAAACTAGCTGGAAGTGGCCTGAAATAAAGCTGGAAACACAAGAAGAAAATAAGGACAAAAAATATGGATTTCCTTCAAATTGGCCGAATCTGATTTGAGGTATTATGGTGAAACTAGAATATAGTTGATGAAACCAATACCATAGCCATGATCCGCAAACCAAGCTAGTGCTGAAGGTGTAGGGCGTGGTAGCTGACGACGACTCATGCCGTAAAAGGGGAAGCCACAGCCATGCTCAAAATTGATAGCAGCGCATAAGGGCGCGTGGGATCTTTTTCGGCCATAGCATCTTCAGACAGAATGTTCTAGAAGGTATACAGACCTTACTGTGGTGTCCATTTTTCAGTTTCGGGTGTTATGATGAAATCTGGACAATTTTGCCCTTTGACGTTCCGGTGTCAAGTGTCGTTTTATGTTGGTTGAGTTGAGTTGCTAAAAGCTTTAGAACGAATGGTGATGACCCTAAATTCGTGAATTCATATCTCTTTTTTATTTACGTACCCGTAGATATAGTTTGATCAGTATCGTGTTCTTTCCCTTTAATAGGTCACCGTGTGGAGTGACATTAGGATTGGTGTTACCGTGAAGGAGTACACATTGCTTGTTGCTAAATCTATAAATTATTTGTTAATCATTTGTCTTGAATTTTTTGTGAATTTGTTACCAATCTTTTCTACACTATTAAAATTGTATGTGACCTTATGAAAGTTTGTTTGATTATTCTGTGTGAATTGTGTCTGTACTTCACTTGTGGTCATGATTTGGTATTGATGGTATATGTAAGTCTAAGGCAAGTGCGACAAGTAAGATATGTTTTAACTTTGATAAATTTTGAACATGATGAAATAGATTGTCTTAAGAATGGTAATAAAAGAAAAGATAAAGAAAGAGGGAAGGTGAATGTTGCCTTAGGGTCGAGCGATGACTATGGTGAGGTTTATTGAGAGTAAACCTGATTACTCCATGTGCATCTGTGTGTAATCCTGTTTTCATGTATGTGATCAATTAATTATATTGCAATGTTGATATGTTACATTTTCAATATATTTTGATGTGTGTAATTGCATGAATTGAGAATAATCTTATTACTTTATGTAATGTGTTTGCATATAAAGTGGGTTGAGATCTATAGCGTACTGGTTTGTGAGATTATGTGGAGCATCCATATGTGGGTTAATTTCTTCCTCTTTGTGAGTCTCTCTTGTAAGTGTAGTGATGTAACCAACTCTTTCTTCTATTCTCTTTGTAAGTGCCACCTTCATCCTTTCTTTGTGAAATTTTTTATCATTGGTGTTAGAGTAACCTTGTGGCGTATTGATCAATTTAAATTAAGCCATTATCTTTGTGGTAATCAAAGGTGTTGATTTTTCCATAGTGGGGTTTGAGATACACTAGCAGTAAGTGTGAGGATGTTTTTTGGTAATGTGGAGTATAGATACCTAGGAGTACATTGATGGTTTGTACCAGAGATATGGAGTGTGACATTTGGATAACGAGTGGAGATATGATATAATGTTGGAATCATTTATCTTTGAAGACCCTATACAGGTAGAGTGAGAGAGAGAGACACTTATATCACTTTTAGTAAGTGGAGACCCGTAATCTGTTAAGTTGAGAGTATTGAGGTGATAATATAGGATTATCCTCTGGAATTAGGATCTATTGTGATTTGTTAGTTAGAGATGAGTTGAGTGATCAGTCTAGTAAGCATAGTGGGTGATGAGAGGAGGTGTGTTCTCGAAATGTGTGCAACACGGAATAGGATATGATAAGTGTGATGAGATCTTTTTATGGAGTCATTTATGCATTTGTTACATGTGTTGACCGTTTATTGATTAACTTGGTGTTAATATGTTGTTTTGTGTGAACATGTTTTTCGAAAATATCTATGTATTATCCTATGTTATATCTTCATTGCCTTTTCATTTGTTCTTAATTCTTTACTGTGATTATCTACTTCTACTTGGATATTTTTTACCTTAGCCCTGGCGAGTATATGAATCAAGTATGGTTGGTATGTGTATGGAGTCCAAAACACGAGGTAAGATCTATAATCCCAATTTTTATTGGTTACCTTGGTTATGCAAGTATTAACTTTGTATTTTGATTGGTTGCAAGTTGATTGGGTATTAAGGTGGAGATTTGTCAGGTTTTTTATATCTAATAAATCTCAGATGATGATACTAAATCGATTTTGAATAAGTTATATCGATACTTTAGTGATGGCTGGACCTGAAAATAACTTGGGTCACTAGATACAACTTCATTAAGTTAATGTTGCTCGTAGGCCCAACACTTGTTGATGGCCCAAGTTGTGATTTTTGGATTGATGGTGATATGTCTTTGGCCCATTTAATAAGACTTTGCCCAGCTTGTTTTCTTTAGCCCAATTTGAAGGTAACCTAAATTGATACTATATATACATTATTCATGCTTGTTTTCTAGCCGTGGGGTGTGTGAATTGAAAAGGAGAAAACTTGTGTGTTTTGTGCCTTTTGGAAAAAAAAAGTGGTTGCCTTTGTCCGTACATTCTTCCATTGTTTTCTTCTTGCTTTTGCGACTGTAAATCACCACCACCACCATTCGTTTTGGGTGTAAATCCCGTGGCAACCAAGTGTAGAAGTTGTGGGTCGGAGTCTCCTCAGTTAGTATTTGTTTGGTTGATTAAATTGAGTCTGAATCTAGATTTCTCGAAGATTTTCGGGACAGAACAAATTTGGTCTTCTAAGGAAGCAGCACTGCAATCAACAGGAGTTTTGACGGACTCAATAAAATATTTTCATACTCAAAAACAATATCAAAATTTAGAGAGTGAAATGAGATTCAAAGCAGAGAATATCTGTAATGAAAATTGTGTAAATGTTCTGATAACATGGCAGACTATTTATAGACTTAATCTTGGTCATTCAAACAAGCATTTTTAGAAAAAGTGATGATTTTTAAGATTGTCCTAAAAAATGGACAAACAACTCTGTTAAGGTTGTTAACAAACGTCAATCATGAACGTACCTTGATGATCACACAAGAAAAAATTGTAGAAACAAGCAATAGTAAGAATTTAAAATGTTGTTAAAATAATCACCACGTACACAAAAATTTGAATATTTATACCCACACACTACCCCGACCAATGCTTATGCTGATCGGAAGGTAGCACAAGTGCTTGTGAGCTTAGGATCCAACCGAATAGGATCTAGGTCTCCACATTTGAGAGACTATTGTTACCCCTTGTAACCTAAATTCAATTATCAAACTTTCATAGTATAAACCACATAGAAGCTTCTAAGGTTTTCAATGTGAGATAAATGTTCAACAATTTCCACTCAAATCAAATTGTCACTTATTTAATGTTTCAAATAGGAAACTTTGAAATCAAATATTTCATTCAAATGACTTTCAATAAATAAATAAATCTTGTTAAAGGCCATCACGGAGTAGAACAAAATGCTTGAACCCATTAATTTTAGAGTACAAGTTCTGCTAAAATTTGAGCTTAAAGTTGACCCACTTTACTTTATTTTATAAAATATTTACAACAAGCCCATTTTTATTTAAAAATTCAACATGACTAAGCAATCTACTTGCACTTTCAATCTAAGTGGAAAACGTAGTAAGATATGCATGTCTAATTTATTTTTTTCTTTTTCTTTTTCTTTTTTTCATAAACAATCAACATGCACTAGAATATGTAGTTCCTACGTCTCAGCATCTCATTCTGTCCAGAAGTATTTTACAGAGTTTGAGGTTTATATTCAATCAGTAGACTTTGGACAAATTTTGAGGTTTAAAATTTGACCAATGATATATAATTAAAAACAGGAAGATGATATTTGGTGAGATAATATATATGTCACGTCCTAAGTTTGTATTCTGCTTTATTTTCTTCCACTTTGATTAAATGCTCCAC